TCCACTAACAAACCTGGACTAATAGAAAAAAATGTACATTGGGAACAGGCAAACATCATGCCTTGAAAAGAACAAATCTGCAAATCAGTAGTGCTTAGCGATCCCATCTCTATCACCGTCGCTAAGAAGAAAAGCAGCTACCAAAACAGAGCATCTATTCTAAGGGTAAAGACTGGGGGGAAAGAAACAGGAGTCTTATAGAAGTGATCATGCCACTTGTGGACTCATACTGTGTAAGCTATGTGCTTGCAAGAAAATAAGACTTGCCGTAGAATTATATGGGTTTTCTGAAAAATACTTTTTCAAATGAAAGTTGAGCTGATGAGCTGTATGGAGGTAATTCAGCTAATTTATCTAGAACCAGAGAGACACCTTGTGGCCATCAGGACATCATGAAGATCTTCTAAGCAAAATGCAGAAGAAACACACTAAGAATGTTTTCAGAAGATTCAAGAATGAACCCACTAAGCGAATAGAATCGATGACTGAATATAAAAAGAGACTCACTGGCTCATGTTAAGGATTCATCTGTTTTAGATGTTCACCACATTACCCTTCAGCTTCTCCTAGGACGCCTGTAAGTAGAACATTTTCCACTCCATTGTCACTCTTGAGCAATTGGCATTCGGAGATATATTGAGCCTGGAAGTAGCATTACTAATCACCACTGCTCCACTACGAAAATAGCTCATGCAATCTTCTACAATGTGGCATCCTCCAGATGTCACGGGCACCCACACATCTGGAGGAGACATATGGAGAAGGCTTGTCTAAACTAGTGTCTTATTTTTATATCTTGTGTCAACAAATTCCATAACTTCATGGGGTACCAAGAGCTCGCTCTGCCTGTCCTGAGTACCCCATCAATGAAGCCAGGTCCCGATGTTAAGAAAATGGAAATAAATCACCCTATCCATTTTCTTCGAATCCTCTCTCTAGCCATTTATCCTTGCTAATTTTATAGACTTTTTACTATGTTGTTCCAATTTCTTGGGCATATCAGTAACAACTTTTGTTCTTCAAAATCAGCCTTCCCCAATAATTTGATGTGTTTATGACAAAAAAAAATGGGTGGGGGAAATTGTAGCTGTATGTAGAAGACACCAAATTATGGAAAGCTGAAGCAGCTAATTATGGAAAATGAGATATTCTTTTACATAAGCTAGAGAGTAGCATATATTTGCTTAGTATTGGTCTCTTATGGAAGCATTGGGATTTGCCGTTAAATCTGAATATTCCCCGAAGGAACTCACATTTATTGCATCTGGTTCATCTTTTCATGTTCTCTTGTGCTAAAGAAAATAGTTCTAGAAACTCATGCTGAGGTTTGGAAGTGATACACTGCAGAGACAATTTAGCAATGATATCTTCTGCAGTTAAAATTTAATGTGTCATTTCATTTTATCTGCCCAAAGTCAAACAATTGTACATTTGTTTTGTGCAGGGAAGATTCTTCTTCACTTCAGGCAGAATTTAAGCAGACAATCAATGTAAAGCACAGGTAGATTGTTTACATGGATCCCAATATCGCCAATGGAGTATTTTAAAAAATATTCCAGTGTGGAAGCTGTCCAAGAGTGTAACAGTAACCCCAAATTATTATTATTCACCTTAACATTATAGTTATTCACCTTGGCATTATGACAGGCAAATTTCTTTTACTTTTCAGCCTCATCAAACAGACCCCAATTCTAGTTCTTTACATGCCAGTATTGTCCAAATCACGGTTGTCCCAAAGGTGCTTTTTCAAAACGCAACTGGACTTTCTTTGTCTTTAACAAAGAAAGTCCAGTTGCCTTTGGAAAAAGCACCTTTGGGATGCCAGTATTGTGTTATGTCAGTTCCTGATGTAATTTCTGCAGATTACAAAAAAGATGTTGCGACTTTGGAAAAAGTGCAGAGAAGAGCAACTACGATGATTAAAGGCCTGGAGACTAAAACATATGAAGAACGGTTGCAGGATTTGGGTATGGCTAGTCTAAAGAAAAGGACTTAGGAGTGACGTGCTAGCAGTATTTCAGTATTTGAGGCCCTGTCACAAAGAAGAAGGGGGTCAACTTATTTTCCAAAGCACCCAGAGGGAAGGACAAGAAACAGTGGATGGAAACTAAACAAGGAGAGACACAACCTGGAATTAAGGAGAAATTTCCTAACAGTGAAAACAATCAACCAGTAGAATGCCTTGCCTTCAGAGGTTATGGGTGCTTCATTACTAGAGGTTGAGATTGGACAGCCATTTGTCTGAAACAATATAGGACAGTGGTGGCGAATCTATGGCACGCATGCCAGAGGTGGCACTCAGAGCCCTCTCTATGGGCACACATGCCGTTGCCCCCACCTCGCCTCCCCCACGACCCCCTCACCAGCAGCGCAGCCAAGGACATGGCAGCCAGGCAGCGTAGACAAGACTCTGCTCTCATGCCCCATCGTGCGCAGTTGATGCTGCAGGGGGTGGGCAGAAGGCATGGCTGCCATGGCGCTGCTGGGCTGCCTGGGTGATCTACGGCAGGCCCTGGAGGCGGTGAGTGGCCCTGCGGGCAGGCGGGGTGGGGGACGAGGTGGGGGCGGGGCAGGGGCAGGGCAGGGGGTAGAATGGGGGCGGGGCCAGTTTTTAGGCACTCGGTCTCTAAAAGCTTCGCCATCACTGATATAGGGTCTCCTGTTTGAGCAGGGGGGTGGACCAGAAGACCTCTACGGTCCCTTCCAACTCTCTTATGTTGTTCTTCTGTTTATTGTGAGGCCCAATAATACAACCCTTCTGGTCATGAATTTGTCTAATACCTTAATGGAATAGTTTGCAAGAAATTTAAAAACATGAGCTCTATTCTGACACTTCTGAAATCTGGACATTACATATCCTTAGATGGGACATGGATAGCCATACAAATGTGGCATTAGAGCAAAACAGCTCAAGAGCAGCAGATTTTTAATACGTTTTTCTCATTGTTCAAAATAAGTAATAGTGAAGTAGTTCAAAATAAAAATAGTATGACAGACCTATAAAACCTAAAGGATTTAAAAAAAAAAAAAAAACAAGACACACACAGACATAAACCAAGTCCCCCATCAGCAGACTCCTTTGCTTACCATGGCCGTTCTGGATTTAATAAACCAATCAAATCTGAACTGGGGCGCGTTGCGCACACACTGCCTTAGCTCTTCATACACGTTTTCTTTGTCAAATCCCATTTTGTGCAACATGCATATCAAGAACCGATCCTCTTCCTCGGTGTAATTCTTGCCTTTGTTGGTTCCATACTGAATTCGCAGCTGATGGAAAGGGGCTTTATACCTTGCAATCTAAAGTTTCAAAAAATATATAAACATATATGTATGTATCAGAGTTCTTTTGCTAGGCATTTCTGTCAGCATCTCATTCAATAGCTGTGCAGTCTACTTCAAAGGTAGGAAACTCACTAGAATTATGCCAGAGTCAAAGCAAATAAATCATTTCCGCTCAAAATGTATTTGGCAGTACTAAGTATTAAGATCTTCATACTGGTGATGTAACACCAGAATTGCATTATGCTTACACTGTGGACAAATTATCCTATATTGAAGATATTATGTGAAAACGTAGCTGTCTGGAAATGGCTCTAATGCTGGGAAAGTGGAAGAAAAGAGAAGACTGATCTGTAACAAAGAAAGGAAAGAGTCACTGGGAGTTGGGTAGTGTACAATTTAAACAAATGTGGATGGATTCCATTACAGTGGCAATGGCTGCACTGTTGGAAGACTTAAAATAGCAGATTAAAGATCAATTGTCACAAAGAAAAACTATCTATGTGGTTACTAAATGTCTAACACAAACATGATATAAATTAATATATTGCAGCATTTCAATTCTTACATCTTCATAAACACATATCAACACAAAGACTAAGTTTGCCTACTTCTGAATTGGTTATGGAAGTTCTGAAATGAAAAATAAGAAAAGGACAGAGAATAATTTTATCAGCAGGGGAAAAAAATCACCACCTGCTGGTTTTTGAAGGACAAGATTAATTAGGAGAATATTAATGGACAGGTTTACTTTGACATCCAGTGCTTTTTTGATGCTAATCCTCCTCTGTATTCTGGCTTCTCCTCTTTCAATCTGAGCCATGATCCTCTCAATGTCCTGGAGTTCGTTGCAACGTTCCCAAAATACAGCTGAAATTACAATAATAATAATAATAATAATAATCCTACATGTTCCATAATAAAAGGAATATTACTTTAAAGCAATTAAAGCACTGAGTTTCATAAGCTGAGCTAAACGCAATTACAGCATCTCTACAGTGAGAAGAACGTTTTTAAATATTCTGAAAATGTATAGTTATATTTTATGTCCTTAATCTTTTTCATGCCAATGCTCTCAGCTTTCAGAAATTCAAAACAGAAAGAAAATACGTATCTGACTGAATTTGTGGAAGTAGGTGAAGCAATCCAAATTTCCTACCAATTTTTTTTGACATTTCTTTCAAAGAGGGCATTATAAGCTGGAGGGGAAATGTAACTTTAAAATAAGCAATTAAGCTTAAAGCCAATTAGGTGCTATTCAAGGCAGAGTGGAAGAGGAACAGAAAAAGGAAGTACAACAGGCCTTTCCACCTTAGCTTCTCTGCTACAAAATGCAGTTTCTGGCATTTCAAGTTGACTCTATACTGCAAAAACATAAACAGTGCCCCAAGACCGAGTGGCTGTGGTTGCCGGCGTCTCGGCATAGTCAGCTGACGCCATCGCTGTCTATAGGGGGCGAAACCTTGGCCCCCTCAGAGAGGGCGCGCAACTTGGGAGTCCTCCTGGATTCACGGCTGACTTTGGATGACCATCTGTCGGCCGTGACCAGGGGGGCGTTTTATCAGGTTCGCCTGATTCACCAGTTGCGGCCTTTTCTGGACCGGGACGCCTTACGCACAGTCACTCATGCTCTCGTCACCTCCCGNATTAAAAAAAAAAAAAAACAAGACACACACAGACATAAACCAAGTCCCCCATCAGCAGACCCCTTTGCTTACCATGGCCGTTCTGGATTTAATAAACCAATCAAATCTGAACTGGGGCGCGTTGCGCACACACTGCCTTAGCTCTTCATACACATTTTCTTTGTCAAATCCCATTTTGTGCAACATGCATATCAAGAACCGATCCTCTTCCTCGGTGTAATTCTTGCCTTTGTTGGTTCCATACTGAATTCGCAGCTGATGGAAAGGGGCTTTATACCTTGCAATCTAAAGTTTCAAAAAATATATAAACATGTATGTATGTATCAGAGTTCTTTTGCTAGGCATTTCTGTCAGCATCTCATTCAATAGCTGTGCAGTCTACTTCAAAGGTAGGAAACTCACTAGAATTATGCCAAAGTCAAAGCAAATAAATCATTTCCGCTCAAAATGTATTTGGCAGTACTAAGTATTAAGATCTTCATATTGGTGATGTAACACCAGAATTGCATTATGCTTACACTGTGGACAAATTATCCTATATTGAAGATATTATGTGAAAATGTAGCTGCCTGGAAATGTCTCTAATGCTGGGAAAGTGGAAGGAAAAAGAAGACTGATCTGTAGCAAAGAAAGGAAAGAGTCACTGGGAGTTGGGTAGTGTACAATTTAAACAAATGTGGATGGATTCCATTACAGTGGCAATGGCTGCACTGTTGGAAGACTTAAAATAGCAGATTAAAGACCGATTGTCGCAGAGAAAAACTATCTATGTGGTTACTAAATGTCTAACACAAACCTGATATAAATTAATATATTGGAGCATTTCAGTTCTTACATCTTTATAAACACATATCAACACAAAGACTAAGTTTGCCTACTTCTGAATTGGTTATGGAAGTTCTGAAATGAAAAATAAGAAAAGGACAGAGAATAATTTTATCAGCAGGAGAAAAAAATCACCACCTGCTGCTTTTTGAAGGACAAGATTAATTAGGAGAATATTAATGGACAGGTTTACTTTGACATCCAGTGCTTTTTTGATGCTAATCCTCCTCTGTATTCTGGCTTCTCCTCTTTCAATCTGAGCCATGATCCTCTCAATGTCCTGGAGTTCGTTGCAACGTTCCCAAAATACAGCTGAAATTACAATAATAATAATAATAATAATCTTACATGTTCCATAATAAAAGGAATATTACTTTAAAGCAATTAAAGCACTGAGTTTCATAAGCTGAGCTAAACGCAATTACAGCATCTCTACAGTGAGAAGAACGTTTTTAAATATTCTGAAAATGTATAGTTATATTTTATGTCCTTAATCTTTTTCGTGCCAATGCTCTCAGCTCTTTCAGAAATTCAAAACAGAAAGAAAATACGTATCTGACTGAATTTGTGGAAGTAGGTGAAGCAATCCAAATTTCCTACCAATTTTTTTTGACATTTCTTTCAAAGAGGGCATTATAAGCTGGAGGGGAAATGTAACTTTAAAATAAGCAATTAAGCTTAAAGCCAATTAGGTGCTATTCAAGGCAGAGTGGAAGAGGGACAGAAAAAAGGAAGTACAACAGGCCTTTCCACCTTAGCTTCTCTGCTACAAAATGCAGTTTCTGGCATTTCAAGTTGACTCTATACTGCAAAAACATAAACAGTGCCCCATCTGGTCTAGCTGTCTATTCTCAGTGGCCAAGCAACTGCATAAGGAGCCTATCAGTCTTCAGAGGCAGTTCCAGTGCCATCAAGGCAAATAGCCAGCAGTGATCCCCATGAATCCCCCTGAATTGGTGGAACCCATTTTTTTAAGCCCACCAAGCTGATAGCCAGCACCACATTTGCAATAGTGAATTCCAAAGTAAATTAAGCATTGCGTAAAATCTTGTGTCTGAATTTTTCCAGGATTCCTGTTTTATGGGGTGAACCTGCTAGTTCCTCTAAATGTCTCACAGAGGGCTGTAACTTTTTCTGAGTTTTCGGTGTCGGTGTCAAACAAC